GACACACCACTTCATAGAATCATAGAGTTGGAATAGGTCATCTAGGCCTTCAAATCCAATCATCCTTTCAGTATGGGATCTCAAAACTGAACATGTTGAATTCCCAAGCAGTCTCCCATCCAGGCACTGACCATCCCCAACCTAGTTTAACTGCAGCAAAGTAATCATATCCTATGTTTTAATGTTGTAGAGATTCTAATGTTCTGGAAATTCTCCAGGGTGAGGATTTGCAAGATACTAATAACTTGTCCAATAAATTTTGCAAGATGCCAGAAGCTGTTTTAGAAAATGGGAAAAAGTGACTTGATCTTCCCATAGACTAAGGTCTTTCCTTTAGTAGATACTGGCTGATTTCACACATTATTTGCTTAATTGTAGTTTATTGAATGGACCATAGTTGGCTGGGTTCACAGTTCATAATAAATCTTGAATTAGAGTTCACAAATCGCATGGCTGAATTCACGCAACATCAAAACCAAGCACATTATGGCTTAGCACGTTGATAAACTGGCTATCCAACATATGGATTAAGAAAATGGGAGAAGGAGTATTGTCTCATATTTCAGTGAAAACTGATTGATCTATGCAATGATTTGACAGCAAATGAGCAGTGGTTACTTTTTGGTAAGGAAAGTGCCAGGGCTCAATTCTGCCAGAGGGCTGTGACTTCTAATTTGCACAGCTTGCTCCTAATCCTAGATTGTGTGAGTTGGTTATGGTCCCAGCATGACTAGAGATAATCTTCTAGTGCAGTTTTGGGATCTTTCAGGAATCAAGCTTGACTCGAAGAAGACCTTACTTCTTTTGTCATCAGACTTTTCATTGTTCGTTAATTTTAGTCTTGATTTTAAAACCTTTTTATATTTTGTATGGTAGTTACTCTTAGCCACTAAAGTAGAAAGACAGCATATAAATGGATGAAATGGAAACATTTAAGACTCATATACAGATTACCACTCATTTTAAATGTGTACACAAATGTATAGTTTGTGTACAAATGTGTATACAAATGTAGAGTTATATTTCTACATGAATTTAAAACCAATGCTCCACAATGATTTAAATGTTGCAGTGATCACAGTGCTTGAACTTCCCTTTTTAACTAGCAAGTTCATAATTGAGGGGGGAGCTATTACATCAGTTCTGTCCACCTTTTTCCTTTAGATCAAAAGTATCTCTGTAACACAATTCTTTTTTTTTTTTTTACAAGATTGTTTTGCCAGATGTCCAGCAGATCCTGGGCAGTGATCGTTTCATCACTGTTTATTTATAAGTTAGCAAACCTGCATGAATTGACTTGGAGAATTTATGCCATGGAAGTAATGTGTCATCATAACAAACAAGTGGTCTCATTTGCCTTGCTAAAGCAGTTTGGGTATCCATGGAAGCACTTTGGTCCATGCTGTAGGACAAGCTTCTCTCAGCTTCTCCATTATTGCTGGTGGAAGTGCTTCCAGGCTGGGTGGCTTTGAGACTGCCTACTGCATGAGCCACTCAGTCTAGCCCTTTGGCACACAAAACTTTTGGTAGGTGGTTCAGAGGAAGCAAACAGCTTTGGATCTATCACATCTTCCTTTGTGCAGGATGTGCCATTTGTCTCCCCTGGATTACTCACCAAAGCTTTTGATAAGCAATTTGTAAATGAGTGGTAGCTCTTCTATAGTTCTTGTTGAAAGAGGAGGCAAATGGCAAATGGAAGAGCTTTGTCACATACTGGAGGTGGGGGGGGGGTCCTGGCTGGCCTCCTTCAGCTGTCACTGCAGGCAATCCTGAGGTCTTTGTGGAAGCCACCCAGCTAGGAGCATGTTGGCCAGGACTGCAGATTCGGCAGGAGAAGGCTTGAAAAGGGCTCTAAAGCAAAATGAGATGAAGCAACTTGGTTGTTTCACCTCATGTCATTCCTAGAAGCAAGGGGACCATGTTGCTTCACAAAGCATCTTTGAGGGTGTGCTTCATTGAAACATTCAGCAAAGCATTCCTTTCAAGTTTTGCTCAGCCCTTAAATTAAATTGATAACATTCTAAATTGGTCACTGTAATACTACACTGAACATGGAGCTAAATAGGAGGGCTATTCACAAGCCCCCATTGGTTCAGAAGGGGATGACTAAATTATTGGGTTTATAGGACCAATTTATGCCAGACGTCTTCAGCTAACAAGGAATGTTCAGTGCATACTCCTCTAATTGTATGCCGTGGCTTCTCTTATAAACAAAGATGGCTTAAAAACCACCGCTCTTTATCATGCTCTCTGGCTCTGGCTTGTTCATTTGGCTTTTTGTTGCTTGTTCTGACAGCAAGAAATCAAAGTTCCTGGATCAGACAGCATGCCAAATTGCAGATGGATGGAATTGTCCATGCTTTGTTAATTGTACTGGTAGCAGGAAGAACACGTGAATATTGCTCATTTTGACAAATTCTGGTTTAGTGTGCCATATGAATATAATGGGTAGCTTGTTTCCAGCTTCAAGGGATTAGCTTTGATTTATAAATACTATTTGTTTGGAGGTCAGGAAAAGAAAGAAAATTGGAGCCCTAATATGCCTTCATCTCATATTAAATTGTTTTCTTCCCACTGACTGAATCCCTTGGAAATGATCACAGGGAAGTCACAATATTTAGGAAGGCAATTTTTTGCCACTACTTCTAATATGTTTTCACTAGTACTAAAATACATGTTCTGCTAAAATTCTGCTCTCCTTCTTATGATGAAAGTACATTCCTAATTGTGTACTTTACTTTAGCAATAATTGTTGTTTAATACACCATTCAGAATTTATGGGAATCAGCACTGGTCCAGAGATCTAAATGGAATCCAAAGGAATATTTGTTTGTTTCTAGAGTGATCCTTAAAATTCACTTGGTCCTGGCTTTTTGTTCTGTTTTGATTTAAGATCCTGGGCTGAATATCTAATGAATTATCTTTAGTGCTGCTGATTTTAAATTAATTTTAAATTAAAAAAAAATTAATTTATGGAAGTATGCTGCTGCCTTAGCAGAATTATTCTGACCTGCTCTTTTACATAAGCATATTTACTAAAAAAAAAAAAAGTGTTGTTTTATGGTTATTTTTATAAGCTACTTTGTGGGGGCTTGGAGGAAAAGATAGCAGAGAGATAAGTAAAGTTACTGACATTTTTTCATGCAGTTGTACCTGCAGAGTAACATTTCCACCCAGAAAACAGGGTTTATTAATCTCCTTTTGAGTTGCTTTCCACAATATGCCACTGTAATGATTAGAGTTTAACCAGTGCCACAGAGGAGGATTGGAAAGCTCTCGGCAGCCACTGCCTTTTGCTGCATGCAGGTCACTAATTCAGTAGAAGTGTTGGGTGGACTGGCTTTTCAGATAAAGCATCCATGGCTTGAAGAAAATGGTGCATATTTGTGTGCGTGTGTTTGTACTTGTTTTACATTTGCCCCAGTTACACAGCTTTTGAAATATCCTGGATTTGGAGGACTGCAGCCAAGAATTTTTCTTTAGAAAGTAGGCTGGAAATGCCATCAACTTGAGTGGGTGCAATGTCAAATGACATCCTAAGCAAAGTAAATCCAAATAGATGATTTTTAAAAAGTGTGTTTAAGCATTATTTTCTTAGTCTCAATGCAGTTTATGCATATTGAGTTAGATGAAGCTCCCCTGTATTTTTTTTTTTAATCAGATTAGGTGTAGAGTTTGCATTTGATTCTTCTATTATACAACCATTGATTGCATAGTTGGAAATGAGACTTAGTTACCTAAGAGTATGTTATGATATCATGTAAGAGATCATTGTGGGGAGGAGATAGCAAACAATGACTCTGTATGAATTGAAACAAATTGGCATTTATTTCCATAACAGAGAATAAAACAGCTCTGTTCAATAGTTACCAGCTTTTGCCTTTAGAAAATCCTCATTTTTCAATACTAGTTTGATTTGTAATGTGGGTGACTCTTGATCAGAGGAAGGAAACCTGCAGCTCCCTTGAGTGTTTAACTAGTTTTACTATGGGTCCAAGCATATTATCCTTGCATGTATACAGAAAGAGCAAAATGAAATATGAAAAGTGATAAACGATCACTTTTTGTTAGTGATATGTCAGGTCCATTCAAAAGACATGTTGTCGGTTTAATTATAAAAGACTTTTAGATTATTCTTCTAAGTAACATGAAGATCCAGTTAGTAGCAAATCAGTAAAACTATTATAGGGTAGCAAAAGGATTCATGGATTAACAAATAAGAAACCTGATTTTAAATAATAGTTTTCTTGCTCTTTGGCATTGTCAGAGCTTTGCTGCCACTGCTCATGAAAGAAAGCAGAGAAACAGCCATCCTGCATATTCATATAGGTGTTAACTCCTCCCTTTGTTGGCAAACTAATCTGCAGAGGAAAATGAACATAAATGAGGCTGGAGCACAAGCAAATATAAACAGTCACAGCTGGGCAATTGAGTTTTTCTGTTTATTGTTACTATCAGAGGAAGGTGTTAGACTAGCCTTTGGGTTGGAAGGCAAACCAAATCGGCCAATAAGTTTCACTGCTCCCTGTGAGATGACAAACTTCATGCTGTAAAATAATTGAACTGAATTAAGAGAAGCTGAATCTCATTTGCTCAGTCTCTGTCTGATACCTGGGTACAAATATATTTATTATTATTCCTATTACTGTTATACAATTTAGCGAGGTTAAGTTCAAAATAAATTATATAGGATTAGAATGTGAATAACTCAGATGGGTAGATTGAAAATGGGATCTTCCATTTTGATGGTCTAAAATGGATCATAGGAAAGAGAAGAGGAAGGCCCTGTAAAGTGTGTAAGGATGTCTTTCAATGGTTATTTCTCACCCTAGATTCAAATGAAGCATGCTTCTTTATTCCAAGCCTTCTTTGTAATGATTAAAATGAAAGAGAAGGAGAGAATAAAACCGATTTTAAAACTTGCAAGCTTGTTTCTTAGGTTGCTTTTCTTCTCCCATAGTTGTTTTAACCATTGAGCATGTTTTTCGTTTCCTTTCCAGATCATCGCCTTTGCCTCACTTTTTTTTATTCTGGTATCCATCACAACTTTTTGCCTGGAGACACATGAAGCCTTCATCATAGACACCAATGTGACTGAGACTCTGGTAGTGGGCAACACGACTGAGATTGTTGTGATGAAAAAGATGGAGACAGAGCCTATTCTCACCTGTATTGAAGGAGTTTGTGTGCTGTGGTTCACTCTGGAGTTCCTGGTGCGCATTGTTTGCTGCCCGGATAAATTGATCTTCATTAAGAACCTTCTTAACATCATTGACTTTGTAGCCATTTTGCCCTTCTATTTGGAGGTGGGACTCAGTGGCCTATCATCCAAGGCTGCGCGGGATGTGCTGGGCTTCCTGAGGGTAGTTCGTTTTGTCAGGATCCTCCGGATCTTCAAGTTGACCCGCCATTTTGTGGGACTTCGGGTATTGGGCCATACACTCCGGGCCAGTACCAATGAATTCCTCCTCCTCATCATCTTCCTGGCTCTAGGAGTTTTGATTTTTGCTACCATGATCTATTATGCTGAAAGGATTGGTGCCAAGCCATCTGATCCTAGTGGTAGTGACCACACTCACTTTAAGAATATTCCAATTGGATTTTGGTGGGCAGTGGTAACCATGACAACTTTGGGTTATGGAGACATGTATCCCAAAACCTGGTCAGGCATGTTGGTGGGAGCTCTTTGTGCCCTGGCCGGTGTTCTTACCATTGCTATGCCTGTTCCAGTCATTGTCAACAACTTTGGAATGTATTACTCATTGGCCATGGCAAAGCAAAAGCTCCCAAAGAAGAAAAAGAAGCACATACCACGTCCAGCACCACTTGACTCCCCAACATTCTGCAAATCAGAAGACAACTCACCTCACAACAGTATTCAGAGTTACAACAGTCCTCTGGCTTCAGCCACAGCGGCTGGGGTGATGGAGAGGAAAAGATCAGGTGAGATGTAAGATTTCAGACTAAGCAAAACCCAGAAAGAGAGAGAAGTGGTGGGAAGATTCCGGACATAAATTTGTAGATGTGTTAAACAGTGGCTTTAGAAGAAATATAAGATTATGTACACATATGGTGCAGGAGGTATCATCTGAATAAAGGTATGCTGTCTGGGGTGAGAGCAGAGAAACCTTCCTCTAGTTATTGATCTTATTATCTTTATAATGATGACCAAAGGGAGAGAATTAAAGAAGTGGGTTCATTAGGCCAGACAGTTTTGTCCATTTCAGAAGAAGTTGAATAATTACAAGTCTGTCTAAAAAGGATAATATCCCACCCCTTTCTGAACAACAGTTTACATCCCACTACCATAAACTTCACACAACGGCATACATAAGACTTCCAGAGTCCAGAATTTCTTGGTGTCAACAAAATTGGTAGGTTGTGTGCTTCAGAACATGATGTTGGCCTCTTTCAAGCTAGCATTTGGCACCAATGGTTTTTAATTAACTTTTTAAAAATCCTGACAATTATTGAGGAAGACTGTCTTTAAGGAAACTAAAACTATTTTAATCATTTGACAGGCTGGTTATAACTAATTACAGCGATTGGAGACTGAACATTTCTCCTTCTGAGGATACCTATAAGATCTCATTTTGAACCCTATACAGAACATGAATGGCAACCTTTTGCCCACCCTATCTTTTGGACAGTAGTGCCTGTAATTCCCAGATGGCCAATATTCTGGCTAGAATGCATGAAGTTACTTTCCAAAATATCTGTAGAATCTAGGTTGTCATTCACTGCACTGCACAGAGGGATAAACTAAAATTATTTTTAAACTTCATGTTGTTTTTTTTCTTTTTGTTTAAACTAAAATACCTTGTGATCTAGAGATTAGTATGGGGGAAGATGGCTGTGGATGATCACTAGGTGGCAACAAAGAGATACTGTTTAACTCTTTGCTGCCATCTATCTGTGGTCTATACTTTATACCCCAGGTATGACAGCCTTAGTTAAGCCAAGAATAGGCAACTTTTTAGTGGTTTGGGGTCATTCTTGATATTTTTGGGAGGACTCAGGGGCCATAGTTTGTGGGGCTGAATCACATGGACAGGCCCAGAACATTGTGGATGTTTCTGGTTTTGGGAGAAGCTGTGGGGATATAGAAATTGTCTTTCTTTTTTAAACATGATAAACTTATCTCAGATGTAATGTTATAATTGTCATGTGTTTCTCTCCTTCAAATGACAAGAAAACTCTCTACTGATTTTTTTGGCAACTGCAATGCTGAAATTTAATCCGTGATTGGAAGAAGCACCAGGGGCTCAGAAAAGGGGCTCAGGAGTGGCTTGGGATCTTTCATTCACATGTTGTCCACCTTCAGATTAAGCCAATCTCTCCCACTTGTGCTTTTTCTCCATTAAAAAAAGTAATCCCGTATCAGGGTTGCCATTTGCTTCTGTTAGGAGCAGGGTGAGGTAAGGGTTCAGCAGGAAAACACTAGGGTGCAGGAGAAAAAAGTTGAAAACCTATGTCATGCTCCTGATATTGCTATGACAACTTTAAAAACAAAAGAATCCCACTTGTGGAAGCCAAAGATGTGTTTAGCATTTTGTGTAGCTTTTGTGAAGGCTGACAGCTTGACCTTAAATATGCCAAAGAAAATGCACAGTCTCTGAGTGCCTACTTCCTCTAATATGTAAAGTCACGCCTTTTGCAATCTAATGTTGCATTTAAGTGGTCTGTCATGCCTGCTCTGTTTGAAGGATAGCCATTCTTCTTAAGCATTGATTAACCATCTGACCTTTTCTACAGCAGTAAGTCTCTAAGGATTGTCTTTGGAATCCCAAAATCAGCCAGGCAACCCATAATGGTATGTTCTCTGGAGTGTGCAGCTTGTTAGCATGAAAGGTGGACGTTCATAGATGCAGGTGATGTATGTTCTGATTGCTGCTGTGTCTTTTGTTCCAGCAATGGGTGGTTCTTAAGCTGTTTGTACTTGCTGTTTATGGCTGTAGCTCTCCAGGAGTTCCTCTTGCAGGTTGTTTCACACTGGGAAGTGCTTTGGGACACCTATGGGAAACGTATATCAGCACAGAAGTGAGAAGAGCAATCATGCTTTCTGATTTTTACCGGAAAAGAGGCAAAGATTTTTGTTAAAGAGTCTTCCAGTAAATGACTCCAGAATGGACCTGAGGGGGTGTGGTTGGTATATGCATATTTGCACATCTCAAACTCAGAGGTGCAGTGGAATCAGGACAACCCGAGACATTTTGGTGTCTGAAATGGAAGAGCAGATGGCTACTCCTTTTCAAATATCTTGTCCAAAGGCTGCTCTTTTGACACTTAACACAGAAAATCCCACGTCTCTCTTTTTCTCTCTCTAATTAAAAATACAGTTATTAATTAATAATGAAGTAAGACTGGATTCATATGTCACACTAGCTGTGTGTTCACTGGATGTACTTGCTTACTCATCCCAATACACTAAACCATAAAGTAACCTTATGGGCTGGGTTTGTGCAACATGTGAATACTTGTCTACTTTCTGATTCCATGTGTCTTGCAAACACTTCCACTAAATCATAAGGTGGTGGGCATTCTTTTGGTTTTGTCTTAGTGTATTGCCTCAATCCAGTCATTGTGGTTTGTAAATTATGGCATCTGAACCATACCACCATGGCTTGTTCTGCTAGCCATGGTGAAAACAAACTATGTTTTAGTGGGATGGGTAAATCTAGACTGTGATATATATATGCTAAAATAATAGGGTCTTATTTTAAAGGAACTCAATGTTGGAAAAACATACTTCAACTGATGGGAGAAAAAGAGAGTCAATGGAGGAAAACTTTTGTAATCTTTAGGACCTGTGGGGCTTCACTGCTATTATTAACCCTCCAGACATCTGCGTCTTAGGGCGGAAGGACTAGAAAGTAAGACAAAAGCAATTGGGAAGTTCTTTCTTATACTAGTTTATACTAGTTTGCAATAGATCTGATGTGCTGTGGGAAGCAGCAAGGAGCAGAGAGTGAAAGTCACAGCTCTTCTTCAACATACTGGAGTCTGGACAAAGAAGCAGCAGCATTTTTCAGTGAGGAATCCCCAATGGCTGAGGGTACCTCTCCATCATTACTAGTGGTGTATAGGTATTGATGGTATGTAGCAGCAGCTTAGCAGAATTGTGAAGAAGGTGACTTTTCTGTGGCCTGGGAGATGGGACAGGTTGTGACTGCTGCAGCCCTTCAGACTGTCAGATGAACAGCAGCTGAGACAGGAGAGCAGCAAGGGTGGGCTGAGGCCTGCGTCTTCATCTGCCACTCTGTCGTTGCCTGCAGATGTTGCTTCCTTATATGCCTGATCACACAGCCAGGCCTGAATGCAATTGCCTTGCATGGCTTTTTTCTTTATTTAGATAACAAACAAAACTCAAAACAACATAAAAGATCTCAGCTCTAAGAGCACTTTGCTTTCCTCTAATGCAGTGTTTCTCAACCTTGGCCACTTTAAGATATGTGGACTTCAACCCCAGCTATGCTGGCTGGGGAATTCTGGGGGTTGAAGTCCACATATCTTAAAGTGGCCAAGGTTGAGAAACACTGCTCTAATGCAACTCAACTAACAGAAAGTAAACCTTTTCATTATTTTATCTTATTTCAGCTTCTTCCAGTTTGTAATTTAAAGCCAATCAAATAGTTTCAGTGACTGGATTAACAGACTGTGCTACATTGCTGGATTCACACATTGTACTAAGCCATTGTTCAAAAGTAATTTTTAATCATAGTTTATAAGCCCCAGTTTAGCTAGATTCAGACATTGCACTAAGCTACACACCATAATTTATCACTCACAGTAGCTAGTTCCACACAGCATGTAAGTGAAAACCAAATAAGTCACATTTGGGCTTAGTTCAATTTGTGTACCCAGTCTATAACATCGTTTCCCTCATCTAGTGCCTTCCCAGTGTGTTGGAACAATAAATCTGATTTAGCGTTTTGCACAAATCATAAACAGATTGCAGCCCTTGCTTAGTTCTAATCCTGTCACTCAAAAGAAGTTTGATAGTTATCAAAGTCCTGTGAGATCTTTCCTCAGCTTGTGGTTTTGCAGATGTGTTGGGACTAATGCTGTCTGATTACTGTCTGCTGTCTGAAATTCTGATTTCAATATATTTAATACACCAGGCTGAGGAAGGCTGTTTTGTTACTAATAGCTTAGGGAACCAGGTATGGTACAACTTTCATTGGTGGCATTGACTGAGCTTCTGGATGAATCTCACAGTGAGAAAACCAAGAAGTCTGAGACCTGAGGAGGTATGAGCAAGTCATTTATATAATTTTCTTCAGTTTCAGATAAGGAATATTTATGAGAATTAAAGATTTAGCCTAAAACAACCTTATCAGTACTAGAGTGATACATTTGCTATATTATGAGTGATATCTGGACTATACACTCATCATGGACTTGAATAGAATGCTGTTTCCAGAACTCCAGTTTCTGTGGAAATCATATTGCAGTCACCATAACATTAATACATGGTATATGTTTACAGGCATTGTCTCTGGAAATGTAGGGATATATAGGACTGATGTTTTGACACTTTTCCCCCTCAATATTGGTGGATTCACCATCATATAAAGGTGAAAGGACTGAATGCAGATCTCCAGTCAAGAAGGTGAGAAATTGATTCCAGTATACTTTAGAAATATCACAGGATTATGGCCAGACTTCCAGATGCTGTAAATCAACAGCGGAAAAATGGCTGTATGTTGCGTTCCACAATGATAAGGGCTTGAAAGGTATGTGAATGAGGTGCAACTTGTGTTGCTCATGTAGCTAGTACTTTAGCATCAATAAAAGAACAAGGGGGGTAAAATGCTGCCTCCCCTGGATTATGTAGTGGCGAGACATCCTGATCCCAAGAGTCTTCTAACAGGGCAAAGGAGGTACATTTTTTTAAAATCAATCATCCATTTTCCTGTTGCCAAAGCAGGTGCAAATCTGGCCTCTTCTGGCTTCAAAGGTTGATTTTCTTTCTTTCTTTCTTTCTTTCTTTCTTTCTTTCTTTCTTTCTTTCTTTCTTT